CCCCCCCGGGTCGACCGTCATATCTTGACCATCTCCGACAAGGTGACCCTTGCAAAATGGTTAGATTGAGCGCTTCTACCAACATTTAGCGGCTGACAGTAGGGTCTTTGATTGGCGACTTCCACATTGACTTTCTGATGCGTATTGTCGTTGTCGACAGGGATTTGATTGGTGACTTCCAGATTGAGTTCCTAATTTGAAGCATGGCTCCTGGCAGCAGGTGGGGTATTGATTTGGCTTCTCAACTTGGAAATGAGGCATTTTTCCTCCACGCCCCCGACTTAGACAACCACCTCAAACATCCACGCAATGCTATAACATGAGCGGCTCATCAATCCACCGGGGCTGCGGGAACCCACCCGTGGGATTCTTTAGTAAGTTTGATCCCAAGCTGGTCCCTGGCCATGACCGTGCCCGTCAACGCACCCATGAAGCTACCTGGATCAAACTTGCCGAGGCTGTGCCAAAGGACGAGAAGGACTGGCGCTTAGCGAGACATAAGCATGCCTTCAGCACCCCGGCGGATATGGTGAAGACATTAGAAGATCTCCTTGATGGTGAAAAGAAGTCTCAGCTTTACAAGACTGTCTACCTAGCAAGTCGTTACGTGATCCTTCGTGGCGGTTCCTCCCATAGGGAAGCGGTATACACTGAACTTCGAAAGTGCCTGGGCAATGAAGAACTTAAGGAGGAGATGTTAGACATATACATGAAGGCAGTGGTGATGTTCGTCAAAGTCCTCGATGACTTATTTTTGAAGGGCCTCTTGCACCGCGCTTTCGAACTTGTCCTTTACAGTAAGTTCTGTCCTTTATTGCTTTCATGTCAGATACGAGAAGGAAGTCGGGGGAAGAAAAAAAAGCAAACACTTCTTATTATTCTCTTCCTAACAATGCATGCCTTAGTACCGATACAAATATCACACCTGCGTCTTTACGGACCCAACCAAGAAAGATTTGTTACTTACCTCTCGATCCAGAAGCCTCCTGTCGAGATTCAAGGATCCCTGCTACTTTCCATTCCCTTCCTGGTCCACCGTTTGTTCCCAGAACTCAGGTAGGATCTACATAGCATGTTTATTTCGACGACTAACAATTCTCCACAGCCTTACCAGTATCCAGAATGCTTTTGGCACCACGATCCATAGTCCGGCTGAATATCGCATCTTCGAGAGGGCATTGCAAGGCCTAAACATGCTTCCTCGCCTTCCATCGCGGCCCATTGAAGTCTTGAACATACCCCAGAGTCTGCTATCGGACATACCAGAACTGGCGACAAAACTTCGTGGGTATAACCCCATGCTACCACTGTATGTTCCACCGAGCACCCAGATGCATTGCTGCCAATGGCCAGACGACAAAGATCGTCTAACAGGTGTATTGTGGGAAATCTTGGTAAGATTTATTCGTCTTTGCCTCTGATAATCTACTCACCCATCAGACCAGCCAAAACCTTCTTAACAAAGGGGACCATCGCCTCAGTAAACGATATGCAGTACATCACGATGAAGGACGTCTCCCCACTCCGGATAACCACGTCCAGGTTCTTATACCTGTAATTGACTCAACTGTCGCTGAATCCCAGGTTTCGCTGGATCCCGCTGTGCATGATAGAAAATGGAGACATCGATGGGAAGCTGGGCAATGGATCCTCATGCAGCCGGGCACATCTTTACTACCGGAACAACCGGTCGAATACTTAGCCTTGTTGTTCCTGATATCAAGTACCGACCCTGTTCGCAGAACGGTAGTCGGGCCATGATTGAGGTCAATGCTACCCAGGAAAGTTAGTTCACAATGTCTTAGCAGAGTAAA